CCCCCCCCCCATCCCCACCTCGAATCTTTGGTTGATGCAGTTATATTAATCTGAATTCTGAATTACATTTCCCTACACATCGCTAAAGCCTCTGCAGAAAATAATAATTATAATGAACTTAGACAAAACAATGGGAATAATCATCCGTCAGTTTACAGTCCGTTCTGGGTAATTATTGCCACGGCGATCCTGAGCGCGTCCTCGCAGCTTTCGCGGGACGCAGATTCTCAGATCGCTCACGCGCTAACGGGAGCCAGCAGATGTGCGATCGGGAGCAGAGCGAGCAGAGCAGGACGCAATCCCGTTACCGTGCAAGCAGGAGGCTGCACCCCCACCGCCCCTATGTGTCTTTTATGGGGGGGGGATACAAATACAGCGAAGACCGATAAATAGAAATTACTTTTAAAGGAACGGAGTAAGAAATGTAGGCTACGGGATGATCAACTAAGATTTTTTCTCGGATGTAGGACGTCTGGAGGGAGGACTTAGGTTTATTTATCTATCATGTGTTTCAGTTTTTTATCGCCTCTTTAAAGGCCAGAATCAGGGGGCCGCTACTATCAATTTCTGGGAGAATTAGTGTCTTTATGGGGTTTTTATTGCGGAGGAGGAGATGCTAAGTCGCCATGACGACCTCTCCTGAGTGGCCACGGAGGCGAGACTCTTGACAGATCCATTATTTTTTAATGTCAGCGTTTTTACACCATATGACTGTTGTTTTTTTTGTAGGGGGGAGGAGGGGAGAAAACGAGGCGATGGAATGACAGCAGGTGCACCAAGATGGGGGGGTAGAGAAAAGAAGGGGGGGGGGGGGCAGGGAGCCAGCACTGATGGGTAGCAGAAGGTGGGGAAACCAGCACCCCTGTGATGGTGTGAAGATTCCCTGCCCCCCCATTTCAGATCCCAGTTCTGCTTTCTCTGAGGCACACAGAAGGTCCCTCTGTTTGGGGCCCCCTACCTCGCGAGGAAGGGGCCCCTCTGCCACAGTCCTGGCCTAGCAGCCCTGGGCTGCGGGTCCCTCATTCCTCAGGGCTGCATCTGGCGCTGGTGTCAGGCGGTCGGTTTAAAAGATGGACCATGAGTCCGTTTCCGAGGGCACCTTGGAGCGCTCTGTTTGTGGCCCTCTGCCTGCGTTTGTTGTCGTCTTGGGTCTGGTCGGGGCCTATAATGATAAGCTGTTACTGATCTCTTTCTGAGTCACACATTGGGTTGTTGGGGATAATGCCTTTGGTAAGGGGGTGGGGCTAATGACATTCACTGGGAGGCGGGGCTTAAAGACCGCCGCATGTAAGCGTGTGTTCAGCCCAAGGCCTTGTCTTTAATTAGGTTCGATTCAGCTGTTGGGGTCTCATGTGATTTGACGCCTCGTAATGTCTTTCGTGTTCATCGAGGTTCTAGGGGGAAGAGCTAGAGTAGGGGAACAGCCCGGGTCTGTAATCAGGGCCCTTTTTCTGTTACTATCAGACCACCTGACGGAGCGATTTATTACCTTAAAAGGGTTTTGGGCAAGAATGAGGTAGGGAGAACATCTGCTTGCTACCTCTGTGGGCCAGGGTCACCTGTCTCTGCTCTGGATGAATAAGCTTCAGAGTTTTTAGACTTTGATATGAGTCAGAAGCACTTTTTATAGC